AAAGGTCATCAAGTTCACCCCCTGCTTTGAGGCACAACCCAGTAAACCTAATCTATTCCAGACAGGTGTTTGTCAAGCCTCTTCTTAAAAACCTCCAATGATGAGGATTTCATAATCCCCCTTTGAAGCTATTCCAGAACTTAGCTAGTTTTATAGTTAGGCTGGATATTAGGAAAACTTTTTAAATCTCCCTTGCTGCACATTAAGACCAGTACTTTTTAAGTGGACACAGAGAACAATTGGTCATTGTTCTCTTTATTACAGTTTTTAACATACTTGGAGACGGTTATCAGATTCCACTTTCAGTCAGCTTTTCTCAAGACTAAACATGTCCATTTTTAAAAAATCTTTCCTGATTGATCACGTTTTCTAAATTGTTATCATTTTTGTTGCTCTCCTCTGGGCTCTCTCCAGTTTCTCCCTTCTTTCCTATTGTGTGGCAGCCAGAACTGGACACAGTACTCCAGATGAGGCCTCATCAGTGCCAAATAGAGTGGGGCACTTGCCTCCAGCATTTTACATATGCCTCTCTTTAATGAATGCCAGAATATTATCCATTTTGGCAACAGCATCACAATGTTCACACAAACTTAATTTGTGATAAGCTAAAGATGTTAACTGGTTAGCTGGTAAGCATCACCCTTAATGGGGTAATGCTTACTGGTTACAGTTAATCCGTGGGGGCTAATGCAGCCCCTCACCCACCACAGGTAGAGAAGAACTTCTCGCTGACCATGAGGGGGCTGGTGCTCCCCCCACCTTGCCTGCCCTCCTTTAATTGGTTAACCAGTTAGCTATCTAATTAAACAGGATTTTACATTCCTATGATTAACTATAACCACCAGTTCCTTTTCAGCAATTCTATCACCAATCCAGCTATTTCCCATATTTTAAGTGTGCATTTTATTTTTCCTTCCTAACTTTAATACTTTGCATTATCTTTAAGTGCAATTTATTCCAAAGTAAATGCCTGTAGCAGATCTTCAGAGTCTATTGGAAAGAGCTTTTTGCAACTTCAGACATTCTAAGCAGAGTTAGCCAATCCAAAGCATCAAACATGGCAAGAAGATGATAGATATACTTAAGACCTACTTTAAGGATAGTCATCAATATGATTTCATGTCAAGTGATAACATGGGTTATGACTACACTACAGAATATTTCCAGGATACCTCCAGTATCCCAGAAAAACTCTGCTGCATCCAGGGAACACGTCCGCTTTTTTGGATCAGTTTCCGAAAAAGCAGGTGCATTCTTTTAGAAGCCCTGTATTCCTCATTTTATGAAGAATAAGGACTCTTGCAAAAGAGGAGGTTTTTCCCACATTTGATCCGATGTAGACGGGCCAAATGTTGGAAAAGCCTCTTCTGAAAAAATCTAAAAGAGGTACGTAAATTGCAGTTTGCAATTTGCGTATCTTTTTCCGAAAAAGAACTGCAGTGTAGACGTAGCCATAGATACCACCTGGGAAGAAGGCAATGAAAGGGCAAACAAAATATTATACAGAACAATAACGAAAAAAGCCTGATCCATAAATATGACACTCAGAAGCCTGAACAGATGAGCACAAGAGTAAAATGGAAGAAAATGGTAGATGCCCTATGCACCTGAGGGTACAGGAGGATGAAGAAAGAAATGCCAGTAGGTCCCAGTGAGGTGTACAAGGTTTTTTTTCTTGCAGGATATTAATCTATCAAATACAGGTCTCTTTGTCCTGGTATCACTAAAACAAGGCTGCTACATAAAGATAAAATAAATGTTGCTTGAGTTCTAACAAATAAAGAAAAAAAATAGAAAACAGTTTGCTTGAATTCTAAAAAAAGGATCTTTTATGTGTTTTCTGAGGGGTGTTGACATAACATAATACTTCAAGTTAGATTCACAAATTCTGGATATCCTTTAGAAAACAAAGATTCCATTAGTTTGCGACAGCTTTCAATCTTTAGCAAATGTGCCTAATCTTGCCTTAACAGTGAACTATGAAGTCAGGGAGTAAACATTCAAACTTAAATATAGAGGGACAGATGCTGATTCTTGTTCCAGAAGCTCTCTATAGTTCTAGCTGCAAAAGCAGCCTAAAAAGTAGGTTTAACTGGCTACTTGGGGGTTCCCTGTAGCTCCACTCCCAGACCCCAGGGCAGGGAGCATTCCCAAAGGAAAGGGCATGGCTAGGGCACTTCTCTCCAGTGATCCCTGGCTGCTGGTATGGTTTCAGAACTCTCTCTCAAAAACATCATGATTATGTGCCACAGTAGCTAGCACATCAGAATGCTACATGGAGTTGGAGTAGCTGGGGAGGAGTTTACTTTTGTATGCTAAAAAATGAAACAAATATAAAGTTGATGAAATTGGAGGAAGCCTCCACAGGTTAATAAAGCTGTATTCACGTTGCTTCCAAATCTGGACCATTGTGTTCGACATTGGGATGATGTACTTTTTTAAAACCATGTGTTACAAGCTTGTGCTTGAACTCCCTGGTCTTTTGCCTAGGTTCAATAAAAGGCATCCTTTTTTTTTCTTGTTAGATGAAACCTGCATGCACAGTTGCACCATTTTTGTATTGCCTGGTAACAAATACAACAGGAGCATGAAATAAATATAGGTCTCTCAGTAAAGATGAGGAAATCCTGTCAGCCTTCTTTCAGGTTTTATATTGAGATGACTGGGATCATATCACTTTAGTGATTGCAGCACTTTTAAGGGGGAGGGGAAGAGTGAGGAAGGGGGAAGAGATCAAAACAGAGAGTTAGAATATGAGAGCGGCCATACTGGGTTAGACCAAAGATCCATCGAGCCCAGTATCCTGTCTGCCAACAGTGGCCAATGCCAGGTGCCTCAGAGGGAATGAACAGAACAGGTGATCCCTCCCATCACCTATTCCCCACTTTTGACAGGGGGTGGGATACCATTCCTGCCCTTCCTGGCTAATAGCCATTGATAGACCTATCCTCCATGAATTTATCTTGCACTTTTTTGAACCCTGTTATAATGTTGGACTTCACAACATCCTCTGGCAAGGAGTTCCACAGGTTGATTGTGTGTTGTTTGAAGAACTTCCTTTTGTTTGTTTAAACCTGCTACCTATTAATTTCATGTGGTGATCCCTAGTTCTTGTGTTATGGGACCTCTAGTCCCCATTCACACTTAATGAATTCTGTTCAGCTGTGGTGTCAGGGAATTTATTCTCCAGATTGAAGTACAGTAAACAAGAACTTGTTTTAATGTGTACCCTTCAGTTGCAGTAGAGAATGGAGAAAAGGTATCCAATGAGGTTCTGTAAGGACAAAGCTGAGGAAGAAAAGTCATCCCAACTCATTTCCTTTATTATTTCCTCCTGAGATTTTAACAGCTGGGCAAAATCCCAAGGTTTCCCAGTTGGAGTGGGAACATTGAATTCTCACAAATGTTCCAGTATGTTCCAGAATTGTGTTGATCCAGCATTATTCTTGCATTTCCTGCCTATCCCTGTAGTCCAAAAATGTTATATGTATACTGCTTTTACTGTTTATACAGTAACTTTGGACAAAGATTCTTTCATCTCCTCCTTTCTAATCACATTCATTACACCCTGCTGCCAATAAGACCCTCTCTGAATTCTGGAGTAATCTGTACACAGCTAATCATTCTCTAGTCCAATTCAAGCGTCTGCCATCTGTATTTTCTTTTTTTCCTGTATTCGCTTCCTAACTCAGTTGATTTTTATCTTCTGTTGGTTGTCAGGATATGTGCAGGAATACACAATCACAGAAACTAGAGAGGGAAAGATCTACTTTTGTATCTTTTAATTGTTTTCTTAATTTGATTACTTTTCAGAAATAATTTCCCCCCTTTCATGTTAAGCATATTAATCAAAGAAGGTGAACAATTGTATCTACAGACTAGTTTACAAGTGTTGGTCACAGGGCATTTTTTTAAACTCCCTTCAACCAGGGATCAGTGTACATAAAGTACAATAGAACCGCTGAGTGACAAACTTACTGGTCAGCCACACACTTTATTTGGACCTGGAAGTACACAATCCAGCAGCAGGAGAGGCCCTGCCACCACCCCCTCCCCCCAAAGCAAATATAGTATGGTACTCTGTTAAATATAAACCACAAAAAAAGGGGGGAGGGGAGTTTAAAAAAATATTTGGACAAGGTAAGAAAACTGTCCCTGTGCTTGTTTTGCTTAAATTAAGATGGCAGCATTTTTCTTATTCATAGTGACGTTTCAAAGCTGTATTAAGTTAAGCTCCAGTGGTACACTGTTGAAAGAACAACCATAATGTTTTGTTCGGAGTTTACTAATACAGGCAGTCCCCGGGTTACATGGATCCGACTTACATTGGATCCCTACTTACAAACGGGGTGAGGCAACCCCGCACTAGCTGCTTCCCCCCAGCAGACCAGGGAGACGCGAAGCTAGCACCCCCCCCAGCAGATCAGGGAGACGTGGAGCGGCTTTTCTCAGCAGACACCTCAGCTTGTGAATAAAGGACTGAGGGAAGTGAGGTGTGGGAGAATAAAACTGAGCTCTGGAGAAATGTTTGGCTAGAGTTTCCCCTACAATATGTACCAGTTCCGACTTACATACAAATTCAACTTAAGAACAAACCTACAGTCCCTATCTTGTACGTAACCCGGGGACTGCCTGTCCGATGCTGTTCATAATGGTGTGGTTCTGTTCTGGAAGATTTCCGGAAACCTTTGATAAACACTTGTTACCTTCCTGCCAAAGGGTGGGAAGGGGAGGGGAACGGGGAAAGAAGAAAGGAGATAATTGCCCCCGAACTTGGCACAATCTGGGCAGTGCTAAGGGCTGACTGCACTTCATCCTGCCCCTTCTGCCCTTAACCCTGCCCCTGCCGCCGGACCCCACCCCGCCCCCCCCCCCCCCCCACACACACACCTTGTCCTGGGACCCACAGTGACAGTGAGTCCCTGCTTGCCACATCTAGGAAACATTCAGTAAATCAATCAAAAGAACAAGTTTAAATGCATTATTCTTTATAATCCTACCTCATATTTCATAGTGTCAGCTTCAAAGGAGCATGGGGGAGGAATGCATTTTCTTCTTTTCTCTGAAAATGGTAACCATATGTTTGGCAAACAAATTGTAGAGGAAATGGTTGACGCATAGATTATTCTCTGTAATCCTATTTACAAAAACTTGACTAGTTTTTCCTTATACTCTTTATAAACCAAACTGCTCACAAAGGGCACGTCTACACAGCACCATAACTCGAAATAGGATATACAATTTGAGCTATGCAAATTGCGTATCTTATTTCAATGCTATTTTGAAATAGCTTATTTCGTCATTTGGCGCTGTTTACACAGTGCCAGATTTTGAGCTAAAGTGCTATTCTGAAACGTCCCTTACTCTTTGTAGAATGAGGTTTACAGGGACATTGGACTAGTGAGCCTGAAATAATGGGCTTGCTGTGAAAACGCAGGATAGCTATTTCTGAATACTCTGGTATCCCGAAACAGCATTGCAGTGTAGACATACCCAAAGAAAAGAAAGTGATTATATAATCTCTACTATACATATGCTCATATTTTTTAAACAGAGGATTTTGGTTGTGTAAGAACCTGCTCCTGGCTTAAAAAACAGAAGTTTAATGTACAGGTGCCTGTTCATGTGTGAAAGACTTAAGTTTCATGACTCATAAGGGATTCCAGTGTGATATTATTATATTCCAAGCATCCTAATTCCATTTACAACAGATAATATCGACAAAGTGGTGTTATTTACCCTGAGTTTCAAGAGGAAACTGCCTTTGTATCATATCTCTTCAAATGTTGGCTGTTTGCCGTATCAGGAGAAAAGCAGTTAGCATTTCTGGATTAATACTTCCAAAGGACTAGGGACTAGGAACTGCTGACATAGCTGCGTGACACTGATGAGCCTTAAAAACTTCCCAGTCCCATCATTTCAATCTCAAATACAGCAGCAGCCTTATGAAGTTCAAGGGATCTCAGACTTCACTGCACTGTGACCTATTCTGATGACAAGAATTACAAAATGACCTCATGAGTGGGGTCTGAAGCTTGAGCCTGCAAGCCCCACTGCTGCGAGTGGAGGGGCCAAAGCTGAAGTCCAGTGGCTTCAACCTCAGCAGGGGCCCTATAAACTGAGCCCAGACAGCTTCAGCCTAGGGCAGTGAGGCTCAGGTTTCAGCCCTGGGCCCCAGCAAGTCTAGGCCAGCCCTGGTGATCCTGACCTATTTTGGGTTCCTGACCCACCGTTAGCAAATCACGAGATCAGTGCTTCTCTATGTTTTTCCTGTTTTTAGGACAACAAAGACATTCATGAATACAGGCGGTCCCCGGGTTACGTACAAGATAGGGACTGTAGGTTTGTTCTTAAGTTGAATCTGTATGTAAGTCGGAACTGGCATCCAGATTCAGCCGCTGCTGAAACTGACCAGCGGCTGACTACAGGAAGCCC